TCAAGAAGACAAAGATTCTCACCACCGAACCAATTGGCAGCATCAGGATGGATGGTGAAGAGATTGAGATTGTTCACAGCTTTAGTCTGCTTGGTTCCACAATCAACACTCTTGGCACCAGCAGCCAGGAAATTAAAAAATGTATTGAGATGGGAAAGTCTGCTGTTAGGGACCTCTCTAAAGTACTGAAGAGCAATGGTGTCTCTCTGGGGCCATAGTCTTTGCAATCACTTGTAATGCATCAGAGAGCCGGACAATAACTAGGGAGGATAGAAGGAGAATTGATGCCTTTGAGCTTTGGTGTTGGAGAAGGGTATTGAGGGTACCAGGGACTGCTAAGAAAACAAACAGATTCATCCAGGAGAGGGTTAAACCATGCTGCTCCTTGGAGGCAAAATTCTGAGGCTTCGTCTAATGTATCTTGGTCATGTTGTAAGGAGAAACCAGTCCTTAGAGAAGGACATCATCCTTGGTATGGTGGAGGGCAAGTACAGGAGGGGAAGGCCCTCTAGGAGCTGGATTGATTCAGTGTCTGGGGTAATTGGGGTGAGTGTGTCGGAGACAGTGAGATTGGCACAGGACAGAACAGAGTTTAGGGCTGTTGTACATAGGGTCGCTATGAGTCACAAGCGTCTCGACGGCACATAACAACACCACAACAATATGCTTACAAAAATATTTAGAAATAAAAATCCATAAGGAAATATTGTCGTCGTTGTTGTTAGGAGCCATGGTGTTGACTATGACATAGCAATGCTATGAATAACAGATCTAAACTTTACCTTATCTTGCCCCGTTCTTTCATTCTCTAATATCCTGGAACTCCTTGTTTCAATCACTGTGTCAGTCCATCTCTTGTTGAGGGTCTTCCTCTCTCTTCGTTACCCCTCCACTTTTCCTAGCATTATGTCTTTTTTTAAGGACTACCCTCTCCTGAGAACATATCTAAGTATGTAAGACAAAGTTTTATCATCCTTGCTTCTAAAGAGCAGAGCACCCTCTTTTGGTTGTCCATGGGATATTCAGTACATTCTTCAACACCACAACTCAAAAGCATCAATTCTGTTAGCCCATTTTCTGATGCATAGGAAATAACTGAGAATACCATGGCTTGGATCAGGCATACCTTCATCTTTAAACTGAAATCATTCTCACCAATAACAGAAAGTCAGATGAACTGTGGGAAGACATCAAGGATATCATTCAGTTACAAAATCAGATGAGAAAGAAAGAACTCATGTGAATGTCAGAAGGAACTCTGAACATTGCATTAGAATACTGAGAAGCCAAAATAAAGAGAAGACATGGCAACATAGAGATCAACAGAAGATTTGAAAGAGCATATTGAGGAGACAAAGAAAAATATTTTAATGAAATGTGCAAACAGCTGGAGTCAGAAAACAAAAGAAAAAAAAACTTGCTTGGAACTTCTCAAGCTGAGAGAATTGAAGAACAAATTCAAACCCCCAAGTTACAGTACTGAAGGATGCTATATAGGGGCAAATATTCAATGGTTCAAGAAGATTCAGAAGAAGATGGAAGACGTACACGAAGTCACTGCAAGTTAGCTCACAGGGAACCATTTAAGGAAGTAGCATATGGCACTAGGAATTGGTGAAATACTAATTGACATGTTCCATCAAACAATGCAGATCTGGACGGACGTGGTCACCAGGGTATGCCAAGAAATCTGGGAGACAGCTGCCTGGTCTAATGATTGGAAGACATTCATATTTCGTTCTCCAAGAAAAGGTATTCCCAGGCCATAGCTGACCCTCCAATAGGCTTTTAGAAACAGTATACATCAAATGGGAGGAGACTGCCCATCTTTCTTCTGCAGAGTAGCTGGTGGATTTGAACCAAGTGCCTTCAGGTTGACAGCACAGCTACTTAACAAAATAGTGGGTTCAAATATCCTCCTTTTCAGTTCAAGCTCAAACTGCTATCAAGTCAGAAACAACTCATAGCTAACCCTTCTGAGGCTGTAAGTCGCTTAAGAGGAGATGCCCGTCTTTCTCCTTGGATCCAAAGGTGGCTTAGTGAGGAGGCCTTTGGGTTTGCAGTGCAACTCACTAAAGGCCAAGAATTTAAGTTGATAACCTTTGCGTCACCAGAGCCCTAGCTATCTGCCTCTCAATGTTTCTCGGTGTGTATGTAAATAAGTATTGAAACTGTTAACTCTTTGGTTAGTTGATTTACAAATTATGTACTATGACACCCAGCCTCCTCCTCCCTTTCTTCAGCCTTCACTTCTAATAAGTTCCCTTATTACAATAGGTATAATGTGTTTTAATGTGCTAAAGAACTGAACCAATATTTTTATATTAAAAAACAAGCTTTATATATAAATAAATGCTTATATACTGCATGAAGTATGTATCTTAGTTTAAAATACAATAGAGACATTAGAAATAAACATGCTTAATTAAATAAAAGTGGGTAAATTTTTGCACAAATATTCAACACGAGACAATAAAATCTGTTAGGAGCCCACCCCCTTTAAAATATAGTTCTTAAACTCAGCGACTTTAAAAGTTGGACATTTGCAAAAAACAAAAGCAAGTTGGATACTTAGAGGGCTTGTTTTGTTGTGCCGTCGAGTCATTTGTGACTCACAGGGACCCTATGTACAATAGCCCTAAACCCTGCCCTATCTCTTGCCAAACTTATTATCTCTGACACACCTATCCCCATTACTCCAGTGACGGAATCAATCCTCTCCTGCTCTGCCCCTCCAGCCTCCCAAGCATGACGTCCCTCTCCAAGAACTGATCTCACCTTGCAACATGTCCAAAATATGTCAGACGGAGCTTCAGAATTGTTAATTCCAAGGAGCAGCCTGGCTTCACCCTCTTCAGGACAAATTTGTTTGTTCTCCTAGCAGTCCATGGTATGTTCGATACTCTTCTTCAGCACCAAAGCTCAAAGGCCTCAACTCTCTTATCATCCCTAGTCATTGTCTAGCTTTCTGATGCACAGAAAGTAGTGGACTGTATCAGGCTCACCTTAGTCTCCAGACTGACATCATTGCTCCTCTGGATACATTTATAACAAATTTTAAAAAGACATTTCAGAGTTTTAGCAATATAAGATCTTGAACAGCACAGTCTATATACAACTTTTTTCTCTTAGAGCACAATGTTTCAAGAAAACCTGCTCATATGAGTGCAAAGCATTTATTACTCATTGCTCAACTGGTGAATTAAGTTGAAGTATATTTATGCTTCAGTTTATGGCCCCAAAATTTTATTGTTTTGAGTTAGTGTTAGAATTGCCTGTAGTTTCTACTGTCTACATAATAATTCACAATACATATTATCCATGATGTGCTAGGTTTGTAATAAACTAAATAATGATAAGCGTTAAGGGAAAGGGTGGAATTTTAGATAAGGTGGCCATGAAAGTCTCCACACTGAACTAACTGTTGGATATATTCCTGAAAAACAAACAAGGGGCTAGTTGTGTCGTTATCTTGATGAAGAACAATGTAGCCTGGCAGGATCATAATATCTCTTTGAGGTTGTTTGAGGTGAGACAGCACCTGGCATAAACACAGAATGCCAGACTACTGAAACAGCAAGAACCCACTGCACAGAGTTTAAGTGAGCTGCTGCTAACTGAATGGCTGGAAGTTTCAGTGAGAGTAGAAGGTAGCAATCTGGTTTTATAAAGATGTATGCCCTTCAAAATATTGAAAAAGCTAGGACACTACTTAGACAAATGCCAGAAGTTCAAGCTGGATTTACAAGAAACCGTGGCACCAGGGATATCATTGCTCATGTCACATGGATCTCGTCTGAAAGCAAAGATTACTAGGAGAATGTCTACTTGAGCTTTACTGATTATGCAAAGTTATTTGACTACGTGGATCATAACAAATGATGGCTAACATTGAGAAGAATGGGCATCTCAGCACACTAAATTATGCTCATGTAAAACCTATACCTAGATCAAGAAGTTGTTGTGTGAACAGAGCAAGAAAATATAACATGGTTTAAAATTAAGAAAAGCATATATCACGGTTGTATCATTTCTCCATACCTATCCAATCTATATGCTGAGCAAATAAGCTGTATTCAAGAAGCTTGACTCTGTGAAGAAGAATGTGGAGGAATACAGGGTGCTGTAGGCTTAAAAATAAAAATAAAAATAAAATAATATTAAAAAATAAGAAAAAGAAAGAAGAATGAGGCATCAGGATTGGAGGAAAACTCATCAATAACCTTTGTGCTTCACATCTGAAGCACACAATCACGTTTGCTTGAAAGTGAGAACTTGAAACACTTGCTACAAGAGATCAAACCCTGCAGCCTTCAATATGGATTACATCTCAACATCAAGGAAACAAAAATTCTCATCACTGGACTGATAGTGGACCCCATAATAGATGGAGAAAAGAGTGAAATTGTCAAAAACTTCATCTTACTTGGAGGTACAACCAATATGCTTGGTAATGTTGTTATGTACTGTCGAGTCACCTGCGACTCATAGCAACCCTATGTACAACAGCCCTAAACCCTGCTCTGTCCTGTGCTAATCTCACTGTGTCTGACAAACACCCTACCCCAAATACCCAGTCAGTGAATCAATCCACCTCAAAGAGGGTCTTCCTCTCTTGCGCTGATCCTCCACCATCCTAAGCATGATGTCCCTCTCCAAGGACTGGTCCCTCATTGCAACATGTCCAAA